TGACTGCATTATGGGTGTGGACGGAAGGGAGACGTCAGTGAAGAATTTGATGGTCGAGTTCCAAGAACCCGAGTGTCCATCACTAAAGGGAAAACCCAAGGTGTTTATCATCCAAACCTGCAGGGGGTCACTAGATCAAGTGTGTAAGACGCGAAGGTCCTCAGCTGGTGATGTTTTTTCACGGGCAGTGACATCGATATCTACTGAGGAGGATGACGAACTTCATGATTCTTTTTTACCCGACTCCACCCTTCCAAGGAGTGTGTTTCCTCAAGAGTTCGATTTTGTCTTGGCCTTTGCTACTGTGCCAGGTTACGTATCCTACCGGTCTCCAAAGGGCGGCACCTTCTTCATACAGGTGAGAAACATTAACATTTACCTGTCAGCCTTTTTCGGTAATTGGAATTCACGATGATCGAGAAAGCGCAAAGTGCCCTGAAGTTCTCATAGTTTGTTATCCCGGGTGCCAGAAGAATTTTTTCCGAGGTCCAGAAGTATATACGTCGCCAGCGACCAGAGCGCCGAGGAAGGGAAAAATACCTCAGGTGGAACCTCAGTTCCATGCTGGAATAGTGTCAGATTTCTTATCTAACCGGCTTTGCCCAAACTGTTTCTTTTCATTTTCAAGTGTCGCAGCAAATCGTATTACTTAACATTTCCAAGGAATATGGCAGGCAAAAAAAACAAAACAAAACAAGGTTCTACGAACCTCTTCCGTCGATACTAGTAGCTTTTTTCGGATCTGCAACGGTAATGTATTGATTTCGAGTTTCGGGAAGTTTTATTTATTTTAAAAGAAAAAGAAACGCTCTAGCAAAACGTTTCGGCGTCATCTTGTCTCCATTGTCAAATCCAGATTTAAGTCGTTCAGTTCAGCTATACATTGCTTAGGTGTTAACCCTTTGACTGCCAAAAAACAAAACAAAAAAAAAACAGCACCGTATTTAACTGTTAAATCAGTTCTTTGGCTGCCATGACGCTAAATGGGCCTTAGCTTTGCTGAGAAAGCTATTTTTAACCAAAAAGGTAGATTTCCCCAACATTAGGTACCAAAACGTACAATATTTTATTTTGGAGCACACGCATAAGCCAAATTTGAACATTTTTTTTTGTGCCATTGCCCGTTCCGAATTTTTTTTCTTGCCCCTTTGCTTTCCTTTCTCTCGGCCCTTTTACTCTCGCTACCTTTTGCGTTTCATATTCTTTCTGGCTGCCATAAAACATTGGGTGTTAATTAAGGGCAAAGCCTGCAAATGGGACCTTGATCAATTATTGGTATTATGGGCCATTTTACCACCATTTTTGCATCAAAACTGATAACGTTGTTTTTCAATTTGCTACGTCAGAATGGCGGCGATATCCAAAACAGTCTGTTGTGCGGATAGATCTATCCTAGCTCTACTATCTGCTTATCAAGAATATCTGGTGACATTTAAATTGATGACGTCACAAGTGGTGCAAAGAGCACGACCACTCAGGGCGTGTATATGCGCCGTCGGCAGTCTAAGGGTTAAGGAGTCGAAAAATGTGAAGGAACAATGTCAGCTAATTTTAAAACACTTTTGCCCGAATAGAGCCCGCTTGTGTGTTTAAGTTTAATGCTTTTTCTTTTCTTTAGTCAATGGAAATCGATAAATCAATAATTCCGTAGGAATCAATGTATGGTAATTAACTGATTGATATTGGTAATCAATGAAAATCAATAACTGCAAGCTGAGTGAGTATCGATTTTCATTAATTAATATGGATTTTAATCAGGATAAATATTGTTATCATTGATCACTATTGAATAAAATAGATGAAAGGTGAGCCATATTAATAAGTAAAAACCTTATTTGCATTTACCATCAACGCGCATTTACATCCGTTACAAGTATACCTCATTAGCTTGTAGACATTTCTGTGTATTTAATCAAATAAGTACTGTATAGAGGATACTACACGGTTGCGAGAAGATATGACGTTTATGTTCGAGTGGGAAGAACAATACCTCACGAGTAAGCGCAGCGAACGAGTAAGATATTGTTCTTGCCACGGGAACATAAAATTCATATCTTCGAGCAAACGTGTAATGTTCTTTTTATTATATAGACATACTGATGACGGCGTTTTTGACGATTTTCCGAAGATTTCCAACCACTTTCCGA